GCTGGCGGAAGTCTGCGGCCGCGTGGGCCACCAGGGGCGGCGGTGCAGGGCGGGTCTGCGCCGCAGCGCCGAGCGCTGTCAGCGACAAGGCCAGTGCGAGGGGAGCGATCCAGGCGGAGAGCGTCATGGCGGGGCCCTTCTTGAACACGCTCACCACATGGCGCCCGACGACACGATCGGAAGGGCCTTGCGGGAAAGCCCTAGCATCGGGGCATGCCCCGTTCATTGATCGTCGTCGTGCTGCTGGCTGCCCTGGCGTCCTGGGCCTGGCGCTCCCATGTGGAGCGCGGCGATGGTGAACGGCTGGCGGCGCTGGCGCGACCGGGCGACATCCGCATGATCTCGTCGGAGACCTGCGGCTGGTGCACCGCCGCGCGGCGCTGGATGACCGAACAGACCATCCCGTTCGACGAATGCTTCATCGAGCGCGACGCGCGCTGCCTGGCCGACTACGAAGCCCTCGGCGCCCGCGGCACGCCGACACTCGTCGTGCGCGGCCAGCGCGTCATCGGCTTCGACCGCGCCGGCATCGAAAAGGCACTGCAGCTCAGCCGGCCGGACGGTCGTTGAAGAGTTCTTCGCATTCGGTTTGCAGGATCCGGGCGAGGTCGGGCGCGGCCGCTGCAGCAGCGGGCTGAGACGCAGGGGCTGGCGGGGCCGCTGCCGCCCCCAGCCCCGGGTAGAGCGCGCTGAAGAAGCAGTCCATCACATGGCCGACGCCGCGCTCGGTCACCTCGCGCAGGTCGCCCTGGAGGTACTGCCCGAACGACGCCAGATGGCTGACGATCTCGAACGACGGGAAGTACAGCACGCCGTCGTCCGCCGCGGCCAGTTCGCCGCAGGCCGAGCGCAGCGTGCACTTGGAGTAGCTGGAGGCCAGCAGCACATGCTGGCCGGAGTAGGTCGCCACCAGCGGCACCGGCGACACGGTGAGGATGAAGCGCACGCCCGGGTTCACCTCGCGCACGAGGGCCACGAGGCGCTTCAGGTCGGTCAGGACTTCCGCCTGCGTGAGATTGCGGAACTGATGCTGGGTGGCGTCGTAGCGGCCCTTGGCGGTGCCGGGGCAGACCGGGTAGGTGTGGCCGCGCTCGGCGTGGAACCACGTCTCGGTCAGCCCCAGCGTGAAGATGAACACGTCGCAGGTCTCGAACATGTGCCGCACGCGGCCCAGGTGGAAGCGCCGGTCGGCGCGCGCATGCGCCAGGCAGTCGAAGCCGCCCTTGACCGCGTTGGGGCGCAGCAGGTCGT